AGCCCTCCATAGCAGCAGCGGCAGCAACGCGGCGGCGGCAGCATTGGAGGAAAGGAGAAGGGCAGGTGGCGGTGTTGGTGGGAAACCCTCAGACTGCGACGCACGCACACACACACACACACACACACACACGCGCGCGCACACACGCACACACACACACACACACACACACTCACGCACGCAAGCACGCACGCACGCACACACACACACACACACACACACACACACACACACACACACACACACACACAAACACACACACACACACACCGATCCTCGCCAGGACCATCTTGGGCCCAGGATCAGTGGCTTGGCGAGGCAGGCATACGCACCAATCCTGAGCCCAGGCCCGGCCGGGATGGGTGTGGGTGTACAGTTGGCGCCCTCCGAGTTCTAGGAGCATCTGCAGGCAACGACGGCTGCCCAGGCTCAGATGCCGTCCACCACCACCCGTGGCCATGTTGGTTCTGGCCAGCGGTTGCGGCGCCTGCTCGGCGGGCGCGTCGGGCTTGGGATGGCGTGGGAGGCCGCCGTCGCGAGGGGGCTTGAGGGGACGGGAGGTCTCATGATGAGGACAATAAGAATGGTGGTGGTGGGGGTGGCGATGGGCGATGATTGTTTTTCGATGCAGCAATTTGCAGGAACGTAAATTCCAGAGGTCCGCGCGGATTCCTTGGATCGGCGCTGGGCCCCTGGTGCGCTCCGCACTCCGCGCGCCAGGGAGGGAGGTCCAGCGCCGATCCGAGAAATCAGCGAGGACTCTCGACCATTCATGCATATGCTGCTGCTTTTTTCTAGTCAGGATGTTGAGGGTAGTTGTGATGGTAATGACGAGTGTACTGACTCGAAAAGAAAGGTGCCCGTGCGGGCTTGTGTCGCCGACACCGTGACAGCACGGCAGGCGTCCCTGAGAGTTCGAAGCACGCGGGGGAGGGCCCCATTCCTGCGAGGGCTCCAGGCCCAGACCTCGGCACACGGTGCCAGCGCAGATGCTTTTGCGCTGGGCGAGAGACACACGCTGCCGTCGCAGTCGGCAGCGCACCGTGGGCCTTCAGCGTAGCTGTAGCTGCCTACGCAGTGCGGAAGTCGCAATCGGCAGCGAGCCAGCGGTGCTGTGGATCGTCGCAACCAGCAGCCGTGCGGAGAATTGCCCAGCGAGCGAGGCGGCCAGCGAAGCTGTCGGTGGCCAGCACCCCTAGACAGCCTGCACGGTGGACCCGCAGGGCTTGTCCTGAGCTCCGCGGCTAGGCGAGGCAGATTGCCAGCCGAAGAAGCTACCATTGTTGGCCTGTTGATACGGGTACAGAGCATGTACAGATTCTGCAGTTGCGCTCAGCCCGCTGCCATTTCCAGCTACTGGCGAGAGGCACCTCGCCGACAACGAGAGGACGCATTGAAAGGGTCGAACGCGTCATACTCCCGATGCGCACCGCTGTCGATCGCTGAGCTTGGACCAGCGAAGGGCCCGGTAGCGAAGCCACCGACTTCGGGCTCGTTCGGTCGAGGACCTCGACCGAACGAGCCCAAGCCGCCGAGAGCGGTGACGTAGCTTGTGTCGGAACCCTCACCTTGATCACGTCGACGAGGGCGCGTTGCTGCCCTTCCGCGGCTCAGGCTCCGCGATTCCGTGCTCGGTGCCCTGGACTGCAGCCCCGGCGCCCGCTGGAGGCACCGACTGACTAGCGCGCCACCGATGGCGTTCTTGGCTGTCGCCGCAAGCCAAAATCTGCGCCGCTGCGTCCGCCAGCGCCTCCTCGACCGTGTCGAGCTCCAAACGCGGCCGAGCCCATCCCTGCAGCCTCGCCGCCAGCCGGCTCCTCGGCCACCTCGCGGTGGAGAGCCCGCAGGCCCGGCGCAGCCGTGCTTGTGGGTCCCAGAGGTCCGCCGCGATTGCAGGACGCAGGTGTCCTCCCTCGGCCACCTCCTTCCAGGCCGTGCCCGCGCCCGACCGCTCGGCCAAATCTGCTGCCGACGCAAGCCTCCCGCGGCTCGTAGCTCGATGGGCGCTTCCTGGAATCCTAAGCCGCGTCGCGCGCCGCTGGCCAGCCGTCTGCGCGTCGAGGGTGTCGAACTCAGCCTCGCGGTCCTGCATCTCCCGCTGGGCCCGCGCCGCACAAGTCCCCAACGGTGAGCTCAGCCTGGTGCGCGGTGCCCAAGTGTCATTAAGCAATGCTCAGGCAGGGCGTCCCGCGCGGCCACCGAGGGCATGGATGGGCATTGCGCCGCAGCAGCCGCCGCCCACCGTCACGTCCGCGCAGTGATCCGCCCAGCAGGTTGCCGAGCTCCCGCTACGCCTCGAGCTGCGCCGCGGCACCCTGCGCCGCAGCGCGGGTGCTTGAGGTCGGCTGGGCCGTTGTCGCGCCTGCCCGCGCGGCCGCAGTGCCAGGGTGTGTTGCGTTGGCCCTTTGTCGATGCTCCCATTACTACCGCGTGCGCACTGCTGGGTGCGGGGGCCTCGCCTTAGCCGTGGGCAATTGGGCCAAAGCAGCTACTCACGACAGCAAAGACGACGGGGGTAGTTGGGAGGAGGATCTGACAGTGACGATGGTGGTTACGACGGTGACGGCGACGGTGGTGGTGACGAGGGCGGTGATGGATGATGGTGATGAGGAGTGGTGGCGACGGTAGCGGCGACGATGGCACAGGTGGTGATGATGCGGATGATGATGAGAACGATGCTGATGGCGACGACGACGACGACGACGACGACGACGACGACGACGGCCAGGCGGCGCGCGGGGAGCTGCTGGACGGCGGCCTGTGCGTGGTGCGGGGCCTGCTGGGCGACGACGGCCGCGCCGCCGCGGCGCTGAGGCGCGCGCCGCGCCTGCGCCGCCTCGCCGAGCGGGGGCACACCCGCCTTCTTTGTCTGCCCCCGTGTGGGCCTTACCGGCCCAGACCTCCCCGGAAAGTTGGTGCTCCACTGCCAGCGCGTTTTTCCCCGATCCTGGCTTGCGGGGGCCGTCGTCAGGCCCCTGGGCAGTCAAGAACAGAGCTGGGGCGGAAAGCCGGCCTTGGGCAAGGGGTCGGGAGTCCTGGGGCCGCGGATGGACAAGAGCCAGATCTGAGGGGCGAGAGCCTTCACGAAGGGCCGACCCTCCGCCTCTCGGCCCCGTCTGGCGGAGAGTCGGCGGCGATTGGCGGGCGCGAGTAGTCGGCGGAGGCCCGGCGCGGAAGTCGACCAGGCAGGGCACCTCCTCCTCGTCCGTGCCCCCCTCGCCTCCTCGCCTTCTCTCTCTCTCTCTCTCTTCTCCTCGCTCGTGGGGCTGGAGGTCTGCTCCAGGCTCCTCTGGCTCTCCCCTTCTTTCTTTCAGACGCCTCTAGCCACACCGTGACAGGCCACCAAACAGGAATTGAGGGTTAAAAGTTGCGCTGAACTCTGCCGTGCTTTGCTGTGCAACCCTGATGAATCAGCCGGGATATCGAACAGACTGCGTCCTCTAAGGCCATAGCTTCCGCAGTGAAAGATGAAACAGACGGATGAATGTACGTGCCGCTCATTGCGATTGGGAAAATGTGGCGACGGCCGTCGCGCAAGACCACCGCTTCGGCGAACCAGGCTCCAGCTGAGCAGGAACCTGCGCGGGTCCCCCCATCAGAATGGATGATAAAATTGGCTTCGAGCACACTAAAATCTTCCAGGGTTGGCGCGACGTCTTTCCGCCAGCCAGTGCCCGAATCCATGGTGTGATTCACAAGAAAATCAGCGATGCGATTGTTCTCGCGCCGGTGCCAAACGATGGGATCCCCCGCCTGAGATGCCGGAGACCATCCAGCGTCTGGTGCGGTCCCCTCTATGTGCGGTCCCTCGGGTCACGAGCAGTGTCGGGGGTGGGGGGCGGGGGCACGCATCGACCTCCAATCGCCCACTCATCGCCGACAGGGGCCCGATATCCCGCCCCGCCGCGGAACGTGCGGATTCGCTACTGGGGGCCGTTCGCCGATCTCGTATCGCCGATTCGGGCTCGATGTCCCCCCCCTCTCGTGCAGGTCGCCCCTATCGGGCCACTTCATCCTGTCGGGAGGCAGGGAGTTGTCGGTGAGGGGGTCCGAGAGCGTAGTTCGGGCCCCCTCTCTCCCCCTCCCTGGTCTCCCCATCCACCGTCGGGTATTACCAAAGGTCCCTGGCCCGGGGAGTCCCCAGGCTCTCGCGCCTGTCTGGAGCCCCGTGGGGCCGGGCCCGTCTGGGCCTAGTCTTGGCGGGCGTTTCTGCCTGCCTGGGAAAGCTGGGGTCAGCGGAGGCCAGGACGCCCGAAAACCTGATGGATCGACGACGCTTGGCGACACGTTGGGGAATTTGTGGGGAGCGTATTTGCGGGTATTGAAGATGTGCACTTGTATATAAATGTGTATGTATACACATATGTGCATGCATATATATATATATATATACACATGCATACATACATACATACATACATACATATATACATAGCCAGGTTTGTATGTGTATGATGTGTGTGATTTTGACTGTGTGTATGTATGTATGTGCATGTGTGTATGTACGTATGTATGTATGTGTATGTGTGTGTATAAATGTATGTATGTATGCAGGCATGCACGCATGTATGTATGTATGCATGCATGCATGGATGCATGTGTGTATGTGTGGATGCATGTATGTATGTATGTATGTATGTGTATGTATGATTTAGTGAGCCCTTGAACTAGTGTTTTGTTTAGACAGCAATGCAGCAGGGAGGGAGACGCTCGATGCCGCAACTGAGTTGGCTCGAAGGATGGCTTTCTGAGAGAGAGCGGCAGGCGGGCACCTCTCCGAGCCCCGCCCCAGGATGACGCCTCTGCCGCCGCCCACGCCTACGCCCACGCCATGGAGCCTCCGCCTGAAGGGTGTGCTAGAGGCGGCGGCGGGACTCGCAGGTTGGCTCGCCTGCAGGGCGGACACCGCGAGATCGAGGCTGGAGTGGAGCATGGCCTGCCTTGGGCTATGCCTGTGCTTGAGCTGGTGGACAGGAGCGCTCGGATGGTTCACCGCACGGATGCCGAGCGCCACCGAGGCCGAGGAGAGCGAGGAGGTGCGGGCGCTGCGGGCCGAGCTGGAGGCCCTCCGCCTGACGGTCCACGGGACGGGGCCCACCGCCGACGACTACGGCTGGGCTGCACCCGACGGGCCACCGCCCCCAGGGATCCCATCCCCAGGCGCGATGGGGCCCACGGCGGGGGGCGCGCCCAGCGGCTGCGCCCCCGCGCCCGCGGGTGCCGCCTCCTTTGGCGACCTAGGCGGCGTGGGCGGACGGCACAGCCGCCCCGCCGACGGTTGGGGGAGGGCCCGTGGGGCCCGCGAGCTACGCCCCGGCGGGCCCCCGTGGCGGGCCAGCGCATTGCACGTGAAGGGGCTGCTGACGGGCTACATGGCTGCGCAGCGGACCGACACCCAGTGGGCCGCCAGATTCTGGGGAGCCGTCGCGCACCTCGAGGACTGCGGCCTGCTGGCTCCCGTGGTCCTGGTGACCTTGGCGGGGTACGGCTACGTCGGGCGCGGGACGATGTCCGCCCCACGGTCGGCCGAGCTGCTGGCGGCCCTGGACGCGCTGACGAGCGGCGGGCCGGCGGGCGGGGGGAGCGGCGGCTTCGCGCCGGTGGCGACGCCCGCCGCGGGCCTGATTGCCGCAGGAGGGGGCAGCCAGGACATGCGGTGGGGAGCGTCGCTCACCCCAGACATGCAGAGGGCGGCGCGGGAGATATATCGTTCAATGCGGGCCGAGGGCAGCAGCGGAGTGCGCGACTGGCTCGCGCTGCGTTTCACAGGGAGCCGCTCCTCCTCGACCTGGACGGACTTGTGGACGTTGGCCACCACCGTCGACTTCCGCCTGCGGACCTGCGCCGACGACGACGAACTGATGCGTGTCCTGGGCACGGACGACCTCATGGAGCTGCCCCTGCGGCGGCTCGCATCGTATATCTACGAGACGCCGAGGGGCGATATGATGGGAGCGGCCCACACGCTGGGAGTACCTCCGCCAGAAGGCCAGACGGACATCGCCCCCACCTGGCTCGCGCAGTCCGCCACCAGCCACAGCAAGCTAGAGCACCAACGTCGAGAGCGCGCAGAGGCCGAGGTCAGACACCGTCACCGAGCCAGCGGAGGCAGTCTTGGGTCTCATGGAGACGGCCGTGGAGGCCGCGGCGGGAAGGGCGGTCGGAAGAGCCACGGCGCCGCTGGCGCCGCGACGGCGCCTGACATCCCCGCCGCGCGCGTCGGCGAGGACCTGCGGCCGACGCGCGCCTCGAGAAGCAGCAGGCGTGGGTGCCGCATGGGCACCCAGGCAGGGACGCACTGAGAGAGACGCTGGAGGTCACGCAGGTCCCCGAGAAGTTCCCGCCCGCGCGCCCGACCCTTCGGCCGAGGGACCTGAGCGCACTGGCTTCTCGCTCGAGACGTCTTCGACATCGGCACCGCTCAAGACTACAGGTTTGGGAGCGGGCCAACCAGTACCTCCGCGGGACCACCTCGATGCACGGAGGAAGCTGTCGGGAACTCGCACGCCGCCCATTCATCAGACCTCCAGGACAGAACACCTGGGCGGCGATGGAGCGCGCGCATCGCGTGGCCCTACGCGAAGCGCAACGCCTGCGTCAGGAGCGCCGAAATTACAATCCGACCGGCGCCCAAGCCTTGCTTGCAGTAGCGGGGCCCGCAGCGGCGACAGAGCACGGCCAGGGCTCGAGGGCAGCTCATGTGCGTCTGGTGTCCGAGGCCGTGGACGGGCCGGCGAGCTGTCGAAAGGTCACGATGCTGGAGGCCCTGGAACCCGAGGGGGCAGTCTTCTATGCCCTGGAGCAGAACGTCATGGCCGACCCCGCTCACCGGAGCCGAGTGAACTCCAAGGGGCTGGAGCAGCAGCACGGGTTCCTTGGAGGCGAGCACAGCGAGTACGTGGAGTATCTGAACCGGCCAGACTTCGCGCAGGGGATGCGCAAGTTCGCATAGGAGAAGGAGGTGGAGGCCGCGGCAGGCCTGACCGCTGCGGCAAAGTAGCCAGGCGACCGGCAGAGGAAGATCCTGCTGACATGCGCCTTCAATGACATGACGAGAGAGGTGCACGAGAGCGAAGAACATGGACAACATGGCGGGGGGGCCCTGGCGCGGCTCCGCGCCCCCGAGGACGCCATCGCAGGGGCGGCGCTGGACGGGCCCAACGCCTTCTCGCACGCGGAGGTGCCGAGCTGGATGTGGCCGCGGCAGGCGGCCCCCCCCGCGATCGCGGCCGACGTCTGGGACCTGCTGAGCCCCGCCCTGCAGCTGGCCGTTGGCCACGGGGGCTGGGTTTACCCGCTCTGGACACGCCTCGTGATCGGGAACGCTCATTCGGTGCACGGGCTGATGAACATAACATGAGAGTGATAGGCATGGCGTTGCATTACCATCTGGACATCGGGCGCTCGGAGGCTTTCGACTCGCTGGAGGAGTGCAAGCTGCGCGCCGGGGGCGAGGACGACGCCTGGACCGACCTTCAAGCTGTTCGTCGAGAGGCGGAGGGACAGGGGAGGGATGAGCGCGTCGGAGTGGTGCGAAGCAGCTCGCGCCGCTCGTGCCCCACCCCGCCAAGCGTTCGCGGCGACGCATCTGTTCTCAGGCCCACGGCGGGAGGGGGGCCTCGAGGGGCACTTGCAGGAGGTCGGCGCCGAGGAGGCCGTGGAGATCCCGGCGCTCTCCCGCGACCTGGGCGCCGACTCTCGGCTGGGCCTCACGAAGAAGGAGACTTTCGACCTGCCGATGGGCCTCGTCGTGGAGGGGCTCGTGGATGCCATCGCGGGGGGGCCACCCTGTGCCACGTGGAGCCGCGCCCGCTTCGCGGCGAGGAGGCGAAGCCTGTGGCCCCGGAGCGCGCCCGCGCACGCGCTGACGGCCCACGAGGAGCAGCGCCTCGACGAGGGGAACGTGGCCACGCTGAATTCCTTCGCCTTCTGCGAGGCCGTGGCCCTGGGAGGGGGGCGCACCCCAAGGATCTAGGGGAGGGGGGGGGGGTACCGTTCCCCTCGGTCTGGGCCACGGAGCTGGAGCGCGCCCTGGAGGAGCGCGCGGCGGCCACTCGGGCCGTCTTCGACCAGTGCACCCTCGGCGCTCCGACCCGGAAGCCAACGTGTCTCGCTGGGAACCTCGGTCACTTGGAGGAGTTCGACGGCCGCCGCTGTCGAGGAGACCACCGCCACGATGTGAACGTTGTGAAGCAGTTCGGAAAATTTGTCTCGGCCCGCCTGGCCACGTATCCAGACAGGCTCTGCCAGGCCATCGCCCGCCCGCTGGTCCAGAACTTCAAGCTCATGCTGACCGAGGGCTCTGGGCCTACTGGACACTTGCGAGCGGAGGTGGCTGTTCGTCGCGTCGGCGACTATTCCTGGAGGTCCACAGGATCCACGCCAAGAGGGCTAGCAGTCCTGAACGAGGCCTCGGCTCAAGGCCGCAACGCGATCTTGAGGAAGCACGACCTGGGAGTCTACCTCCACATCGACGTTGCCCTTTTCTTGTCCAACCTCGGCCCGACGGAGGACCGCCCCGCGCGCGACATAGCCTTACAAAAGTCCGCCGACAGACTGGAGCAGATAGGTTCCCTGGTCAAGGACCGACGCCGGCAGGGGGAGGTCAACAAGATCATCGGCTACGAGCTCGAAGCACGACCTGCCCGACTATGAGTGCCCGCGCGACGGGCCGTCGACTTGCATCCAGCCTTCGAGCACTTGGCGCGTCGCAGGACCGTGGACGTGGAGGCGTTGAGGCCCGTCGTGGGCGTCTGGATCTGGGCCGCGCTACTGGCCCGACACTGGCTGTCGGCGCCGCAGGCGCTGTTCTCCATCATGAACGCCGAGGGCCCCCGCGTCCGCCGCCGGTGGGCTTCGGGCCGCAGGGAGGTTGTTGCCATGATGAGGAGCGTGATGGGCCTGTACTCGGACATGGGCGCGCCCTTCTCCCCGGTCACCCTCGCGACCGACGCCGAGGGGGGCAACAACCACGACTTCGGCGGCCACGGGGCAGTGGGCGCGCTTCTAGGCCAGCAGGCCCAGGAGAGCACGTGGGAGGCTGGCTTGCGGCCTGGCAAGGCCCTCGTCCGCAAGCCCGGCACCGTCGAGAAGGTCGTGAAGCGCGGCGAGGCCAGGACGCTGAAGCCGTTCGTGCCTGTCTCGTCCGTGCCGGGGGACGTGCTGGACCCCGAAATCACGTGGGCCGACTTGCTGGCGGGGCGCAGGAGGCATGCCGACAACATCGCCTTGGGCGAAGCTCGGGCGGCGATCGCCCCGCTGGAACAAGGCGCGCGCCGCTACGGCTCATCGGGCCTAGCTGATGAATCTAGAGGACAGCATGGTGACGGCGTGGGCCTTCGCGAAGGGAAGGTCGTCAGCGGTCGACCTCAACTACATGCTGAGACGCCGCGGAGCTCTCATGGCCGTCACCGACATCAGGCAGCATCTACCGTGGGTGGACACGGAGAGGCAGCCCGCCGACAAGCTCTCACGTTCGAGGCCATGTGGAGCTATCTACACCGAGCCTGGGGCCCCCACGGCCACGACCATTTTGGAACCGCGCCGGGGAGTCCAATCGTGACCTTTCAGAGGCCGTCAGCGGCTGGCACGGACCCACACCTGGAGGGCATGGTCACCGTCAAGACGCTGGCTCACTACAAGAGTGCCGCCGCTCGGCTGGTGTCGTGGTGCCAGCGCAGCATCATGCGAATCCGTGGACACCTGACGAGTGGGACGACACGCTGATCGAACTCAAACATAGTTTGCGAGACGAGTTGGGAAAGGCGGAGTTCATTGCGACGGCGAGCGCCGTCGAGTTCCGCTTCACCCGCCTGAAGGGCATGCTGGCCTGCTCGCATGCTGCCATCCGCGGCTGGAGTATCGTGTTTCCCGTCCGACGGACGGTGCCCATGACGTCGCGGCCGAGCAAGTGGATAGCAGCGCAGATGGCCAGCAGGAGCCGCCCTCGCCTGGGAGCAGGCGTGGCGCTGCAGGCCCACATAGGCCTGCGGCCGTCCGAGATGCTCAGCCTGACTACCGACGACTTGACCTTCCCCGAGGACGGAGGCTACCACCAGGACGAGGGCGCGCTAGTGATCGGGCTTGGCCTCAAGACAGGGACCACGGCCCAGCGCGCTCAAGCAGCATCGCTTCGCTTCCCAAAAGATGCCGTCTTCATCCATCTGCTCCGTCACCTGAGGAGCATCACTCCGCCAGGTCACCGTCTCTTCCCGTACCCCTTGGAGGTCTACCGCAGGGAGCTGGCAGAGATCCAGAGGGGCTTCGGCATAGACGCCAGGTGGACCCCGCACAGCCCCAGAGCAGGATATGCTTCGGAGGCCTCAGCTTTGGGCGTACCCTTCGAGGTGATCGGAGAGACGGTCCGATGGAGAATGGATTCCAGTTTGCGCATCTACATTGACGTAGTCTCGGCGGCTCAAATCAGCACGGCCCTACACCTCAAGGGCTTCGAGGCAGCACTGGCGTGGGCGACCCAGCATTGGGCCTGGTACATCGCGCAGTCTCTGGCCGGCCATGGCGCCCAAGGGGCCCAAGAAGCAGGCCGATGGGACGGAGACGCCAAGTAGACGGGTGTCCTCACCGGCGGCCAGTTCGAAGGCATCAATAAGAACGCCTGGATCGTGGTCAGTTGCGTCGCCTGCCTCGATTTCGTCGCCAGCTCCGAGCCTGCCAGGACAGGGGTGCACGCCGATCCCTGCCCCAGTCCATGGTGGAGCGCCGCTCGCTACCCCGCTCACGACGGCCTTCGTCGCGGCGGCCACAGTCGAGCCCGCCGCGGCGGCGGGGCCAGGGCCAGGGGCAGCTCAGGCCCCCGCGCGGCTTCCCCGTCGCGGGGCCTGACAGTGGATCAATTGTTCCACCGGGATCCGCAGCGGGACCGCCAAAAAGCCTGGCGGCGGCCGTCGCCGTGCTGGCGGCGCTCCCCGCCGCGGTCTTCCCCGCCACGGCCCGTGAAGCGGAGACCATCACGAACCTCGTCGAGGGCGTGGGCGGGGCGGCGAAGCGGGTCCTGGCATCGGGCGCGAATGTCACGGACTCGGCGGCCCGCTTCGCGGGGGCCAGCACGGACGGCACGCTGACGCCAGGGGGGGCCGCACGGAAGGGCCACGACCTCCTGAACGTCACAGTGGCGAGGCGGGCAGGGAGACTCTTCCTGGACGCCCAGGGGGACGCCCCCGCCCTGCTGAGGAGCGGGGCGGGGTCGCAGATTCCACAGATGCCGCTGGAGTGGGTCGAGGAACTCATCAAAGCCGGCAATATTGTCGCCCCATGCCGCCCGCCCGCCGACCACTACTTGCACCGTTTTGCGCCGGGCGGGCTCGACGCGCACGGCCTCGATGGGCTTCCATGCGCGCTACCTACGCACAGGCCACATCGCGATGGCATGGGCGACCTCGAATATCACCTTCCAGGCCCGCTGGGCCAATCCGTGCTGGGAGCTCCTGGGCTATGACTTCGGCCCGATGACTGACGAGATTGGCGCCACTCTCTCCCGCGCGCTGGCGGGGGCCAGCCCAGCTCCCAATCTCGACCTGAGTGTTGACGAGATCGAGGACGCTCCAGGCATGCCGTCGGCGACCTGGCCATTCTGGGCGCGCTACATCGTTCGCTACGGGAGGAAGCTCCTCAACCTCATCAAAGATCGCTGGGCGGAGGCGGGCTCGCGGGAGGGGGCCCTTACAGCGCCGACGCCAGCGCGGCCGCCGACGCCTCCGACGCCCTCCCCGCGACGCCCGCGGCCTGCGAGATGCGGGATTCAGAGTTGTCGTTGACGGCGGCGGCGGCTTCAAGACGTCGGTATCCAGATACCTATGTGAGCAAGGTTGAGTTCCCGTGAACATGATGAGCCCTCTGACATTTGCAGTGGAGCTCGTCTTGTATATAGCCTTTCGCTTCGCAATGGCATCGGCGTCTAGGGAAGGTCCAATAGCACTCTATGAAATCATTTAGTGAGCCCTTGAACGAGTGTTTGGTTTAGACAGCAATGCAGCAGGGAGGGAGACGCTCGATGCCGCAATTGAGTTGGCTCGCCCTGCCCGCAAGTTCAGTTCGCTTCCGTCTGTGCGCGCGCTCTCGACCTCAGCTCCCACCCAGGGACTCCGAGGGATTCAGAGTTTTTATTGACGGCGGCGGCGGCTCCCACTTTCGCCGCCGCCGTCGCGAGGCCTGCGCAGACCAAGGCTTCAAGACGTCGGTATCATGATACCTATGTGAACAAGGTTGAGTTCCTGTGAACATGATGAGCCCTATCACATTTGCAGTGGAGCGTGTCTTGTATATAGTCAATCGCTTCGCGATGGCATCGGCGTCTAGGGAGGGGCCAATAGCAAGCTATAGAACTGCATATATGTATGTATGTTGATATGTGTGTATGTAAATGTGTATGTGTATGTATGTGTATGTGCATTTACATGCGTATTTGTGTATGCATTTGTGCGTGTGCATGTATAAGTATGTGTGTATGTGTGTATGCATGCACGTATGTGTGTGTATGTATGTAAACATGTACGGATGCATGTATGTACGTATGCGCAAATATGTGTTTATGTATGTTTGTATGTACGTATGTACGTATCGGGATATATGTGAGTGGCGTCGTCCCGTTTGTTCCGATATATTGACCACAACAGGGGGAGATAGTTGTTTCCATCTCACCCCGGCAATATCGCCGCAGTTATTTGTTGTGCTGCGGTGTAGTGCAACGGTTGTTCTACGTGGGTATACCCATACATTGCGAGGAAGCTTCGGGTCCATGCCACGTTTTGAGACCACACAGTAGGGAAGAACCCAACAAGTTGCCGTTGCCGTGTTGCGCGGCGAGCAACAGCGTTGCATCGACTTGCCGCGGTGTACTGTTGCAGTTTGGTTTCGTAAGTGCCCTCAGAATTTGCGAGGATGCTTAGGGCGCGAGGGGCGAACCCAAGAAGAGCAGCATTCCAAAGGTTGGCTGCGCGTCTGCCGCGCTGCGCGGCGATAACCATTCCTGCAGCCACTTGTATGCCACGCGCGGTGTACTGCCGCGTTTCAATTGCGTGGGTATGCACAGACATTGCGACGAAGCCGCGGGCGCGAGCCACGCGTTGAGAGTACAATATGGGGAACAACCCAACGAGTGCAGCATTCCGAAGATGTCGCGCACTTACCGCGTTGCGCGGCGACATCCCCTCCCCAAAGGGCCACCCGCGACAGTCTCAAGAGATGCCCGCGGCGCCCCCCAGACAACCCAAGAACCCGAAGACGTTACCACGGAGTTGCCGCGCTGCTGGGGCGTCGGAAGCCCCGTCTTTCCAGCTCCAGTTTTTGTCCGCGTTCTTCCTCATCATCCTCCTCCTCCTCCTCCTCCTCCTAATGCTTGTGTTCTTCCTTTTTTCATGTGTGCTCCAGAGGCGGAACACGACGGTGCCGAAAAACAATGCGGCGGCGGCGAGGGAGGACGAGGAGGAGGAGGAGGAGGAGGAGGAGGAGGCGGAGGAGAGGAGGAGGAGGAGGGGAGGACAGGGAGGAGGAGAACGACGACGACGACGACGATATTGAGGTCGCCGCCGCCGCCGCCAGCCGCCGTCTGCCGCCGCCGCCACCGCGCGATCGCTAACGGCGCCTCTTGAGGCCATCTTGGGGCGCTCTTGGGACCGCATTGGGGCCCTCATGGGCCGCTCTTGGGGCCATCGGGGAGCCATCTGGAGGCCTCAGAAGCCCATCGGAAGCGAAAAGGCGAGAAGGCACAAGTCAGCGAATTCCAATGTGTGTTTAAAGAAGTTTGGCTTCTGGCCTCTTGGGGAGGCTATGTTGCCATTTGGATCCATCTTGGAGCCGACTCGAGGCTTCTTATAAAATGTGGTGCGCCAGTTTGAGCGATCGTGTTCCATGGTGGAGGCAATATTGGGATATCCAGAGCCCTTCGGGAGTCATCTTGGGCCATATTGGACGCGGCAACCCGCCGCGTAGCGAGAGATGTGGAAAAGCATACAGTTGAATAAAGGGTTGGGGAAGTCGGCATGCCCAAGAAGGGGAGGATGGAGGCGTAATCGGAGGAGGAGGAGGAGGAGGAGGGGAAGCAGGGGGAGAGACAGGAGGAGGGAGGAGGAAGAGGAGCAAGCGGATGAGGAAGAGAGGGCAGAGGAGGAGGAGGAGGAGGAGGAGGAGGAGGAGGAAGAGGAGAACGAGGAGGAGCAGGGCGAGCAGGAAGGCTTGCCAGAGGTCTCTTGGCTGCCTCTCGGAGTCGCTTCGGATGTCTCCCGGGGTCTTGGAGAACTCTTAGGGGCGTCTACCGGGCGTCCAGGGGCCTCCTGGAGAGTAAAGGGTGTTTCGGGGCGGGGGCGGGTGGTTTCTTGGGGGTCTTGTGGGAGCCTCCTGGGGACCTATTGGGGGCCTTTTGAGGCCTCGTGGGCGCCTCTCGGGGCGCTCCTGCGGGACTCTTGGGAGCCTCGGGGGCCATCTTGGGGCCATCTTGGGAGGGGTTCGACCAGAGACGGGTGGCTACGTATTTACTTGTGTTTTCGCGTGGGCCATCTTGGAAGCCCCAACGACTCGCGAACCCCCCGTCCAGGTCCAGGGGGAGGGGGGAGGGCAAGCTAGGCGCGCTCGCGTCATATCTGACGTCCTATCCCTCCCTCCCATCCCTTACAATGGCGTAGATGTCCTCTCTATTCGCACAATCGGATGTCGTAGCATGGCATAGCATTACAAGACATAGCATGGTGTTGAAGACTCACGCGTAGCATGACATAGCATGGCATGGCGACGCCAAAAAGTGGGGGGGGGCTTCTGCGGTCCAAAAATCAGCGAATCGACACCGAATGTGGAATAATTTCCGATTGTTTCTTCGGGAGGCAATGTTTTGATGTTGTGGCCTATTTGGAAGAACCGAAAATCATGCCGTGGCATGGCACTGGAAATTATGACGCCAGCGCTGCAGCGGGAGCACGATTCGGAACGAGCGGAAGCGCGGAAATGAGGCCAGTGTCACGGGAGCACGATTCGGAACGAGCGGTAGCCCGAAAATGAGGCCAGCGCTTCAGCAAGAGCAGCCCTTTTGCTTGAACAAGAAACCAAGCGCGGAAGCGCGGAAATGAGGACGCGCAGCTTGACATAGCATGGCGTGGCGACGCCTCAAAGTTGGCCAAAAAAATCAACGAATCGACATCGAATGTGGAATCACTTCCGATGGGTTTTTCGGGTGGCATTTTCTAGATGTTGGGGCCTATAATAATAGATTAAGAAGGACCGAAAAGCATGCCGTGGCATGGCGCTGGAAATAATGATGCCAGCGCTAGAGCGGGTGCACGATTTGAAAATGGAGCCAGCGCTTCAGCGAGAGCAGCATTTTGAAGCAAAAAAAAAAAAACCAAGCGAAAACCCAAATCCCGGGAATCCTGTAAGAAAAAACAGTACGCGGAGGCGGCCCGGCCACTTCCCGGACGCCACCAGGGGAGAGAGGAGAGTAATATTCAAATTGCTTCAATTGTCAAGGGGTAAACCCTTCCCTGAAAATGGACGAAGGGCATTGGAAGAGGAAGCCCCCTAAACCACTCACGTGCTAAAAGAGCTGTTGCGATTTGGTAGGGCATCAGCTAGTGCTGATTACGATCTGCCGTTTATACGCGACGCTTGTTCTCCAACCGATTCAGCAATTCTTAGTGGATCGGAGCGAATACAATCTGGATCATTCACGAATATGATTACCATTGTGAGTTGTATGATCATCGGAGTGGAAGTTGTGCTCAGGTCGAATGGGGACGACACGGCTGCCGCATCTTGATTGGACCCTCCATTGATGTGTGCTTCATGTTTCTCTGCAAATGGTTGCCGACGGTTGCCGACGGCATGGGAACGCTTCTGAAGTATTGGTTCCGCTTCGATGTTGTTTGTTTTGACAATGGCGTCTTGAATTCTTGAGCAACTTATATTTCTCAGTTCCTCGGATCCGTTGAACGGCCAGGATATTCCGGACGATGGCCATGGTTGGTCAGTAAACTATGTAATTTATGCGTGCGAGTGAGGTCATTGAAAACAGTGTGACAATTTGAATGCATGCATAGGGATAGTATATATTCTTTATATATATATATATATATAACATGTGTCACATATGCACATATACGTATGTGTGTATCTACGTGTCTGTCCCTTTCCACCCATAAAATGACAAGGAAAACCCGTACATCTGTGACCCCCCCACCTCCCGATGTACGCTCCAGGCCCACCCTCGTGGCCGAGCAGGCCCCCGCGGGCGCGCCAAGACAGCCCACCAGTGCCTTCAGACGGCCCTCATCAGCATTTCGAGAGGGTAAAAAGACGGGCCGATGGCCCAAGAGGGCCCAACATAGCGACCCAAGACGTCCAAATCAACTTTCAGCGGGCCCAAGATGCCTCCGAGACGCCCCGAGAGCCTGCCCCAGAGAGAGCCCCGAGTGCCAGACTCCATGCGTTGTACGACCGGCGAGGTGTTCACGTGCGCGCGTGTCCGGCTCTGGCGCGCTCCCAGGCGGCCCCGGACTCGCCCAAGCTCGCCCGGCGGCGGCCCAGGAAGCTTCCAAAACGGTTCGAAAACGGCTCCAGGGGCCAAGACGGCCCGCGGAGCCGCCAAAACGGCCCGCGAGGCCCT